CATACAGCCAACACATTTTAACATAAATTGATAACGCATCTCTCATACACTGCCAACAGATTTTAACATAAATTGCCAATGCATCTCTCATACACTGCCAACAGATTTTAACATAAATTGCCAATGCATCTCTCATACACTGCCAACAGATTTTAACATAAATGGCAAATGCATGTTTCATACACAGCCAATAAATCTCTAACAATAAAATAAAAAAGGTGGTGTCTGTGGTGAGGTTACTTCTACTGTAAACATTGCTTCCAGAGCGCTGCAATCTCTGTATATATTTGTGTATATCTCAATATACATGTTCTATTCTCCAGCTTATTCCTGTAATTTATTTGGAGAGTACTTAGGGAACTGCTGGGAACACACCAAGAAAAACCCGACTGTCAGAGTGAAAACGGAACGTATCGTTAGCTCGGTGTGGTGACCTCACGTCAAGCTGATGACGTCAGCAACATGACCCTATCTGGAGAAGGAATTGATTTAACCATGTGCCTTACAAACATACAAGGCCTACAGCAGGTGTCAACGAACCGCCAGAGTTATGACCTCTGCCCTATGCGCTGCCCTGGACTTAAGATGAAAGACTAACTAACATCGTATGAGACGTTTTAAACTCACCACATAGAACTTCTAAAGACCTAAAGATCTGCACGGATCTACTACAGCAAAACTTCACCGCGGGGACAGCACGATATTTATAAATAAGGAAATTAATAGAGGCTGAACAGGGCATTCTGAAATTAGTCCTGTTGTATTGTCATCTAAGACGCGATTCATCGTTTTAAAGGGATTTCAAATCTTCAAGTAGCAAACTGGAAGGGAAAACCATCATTTAGACTTTGTTAGGTTGCTTTTGTTTTTAAATATATCTTTCTCTATCTTGGGAAAACTTCGCCTCTATACAATGTTTTACTATAAGCTACCATGTTCCTGTGTTGTTTAGCAAATACTATGTAATTACAAATACAGTTACTATCATGTGCACCTTACACGTTATTTAGTCGTTATATAAAATTGAAGACGTATTAAATCTGTTGGGTCCATTAGACAAGAGAATAAACTATTTACATCGGTTTATTTGCTCTACTATTGTAGTTTTTTTGAAAAAAAAAAAAGCTTCTTTTATTAAAAGTCGTGTGAGTTATGGACTATCTCTCGGTCCTTAGAAAGAAAATAGGGGCTTTTGATATGAAATGTTATAGAAAGATTCTCAGAATAAGATGGACCAAGAAAACAAGAAAGACTGGCATTTAAAAAAAATGTGAACATCAAGGAAGTTTGGCTAATAACACAAAGATGGGAACAGGACATAATTGACTCCTTGAATAAGAAAGTACATGAGGCGGGAGACCTGGCGAGAGACCGAGTTGCTTTCAGACAGACAGTGATAATAGCGACGTTCTGCAAATGACCTGCTACATGTTGATGTATTGAAATAAAATGTTTATATTCGTTATTAACGTCAATCGCTTCAGGAGAATTGCCGACGCCGATTGGAATGTTGTGGTAAAACAGACGAGGCTCAAGTCGGACTTTATGACTGCCTATCGATACGCTGGCTGGGTAAGGTGTTCAACAATTATCCACAGCATCTTCTCAGTTACGATTTCGTGTTCTTCTTGAAACGAATAAATTTGCTTTGTTCTTGTGCCAACGGAAAACCACATATAATACTTATCAACGTCCTTTGTAAAAAAAAAGTTTTCTTCGGCTCGACGTTTTGTAATAGGTTCATATTTCAATAGACCAATTCAAGCCGCGATAGATGAGTTGATCCCAATCATGCCGGCTGCTTTCTATCGTCAAGGAAAATACCTGATACACATTTTAAGCTTGGTCGGCCTGGGCTGGGAGCCAAGGGATTTGAACTCAAACGATAAAAACAAGACAACACCTAGAAAATGCTCACCCTTTTTCATTCAACAAACTGGAACCGCGGTAGCTCAGTGACGTTCCGTTGCTTTGCCGGGGAAATAAATTCATCACGTTCAACCAGCATCCCTGTGGGGGAAAACTTTAGGTTATAATTGTGACTTGGCTATGTGCACCATATAAAATGGCTTAGCATTGCACTAAGAGAAATGAAAAGGCGCCCTGCAGTGTTGATGCGATAAAAAAAAAGACAGACGCCTAAAAATGTCACGACCAGTGACGAAGTCGTCTACCGGAGAGCCAGAGGGCCAGCCAGTCGCCGATTTAGCTCAATGGATAGGCGTCTGCTAGGCGTGTATGGTGTGTGTGTGTGCGCGTACAGGGGAATATCTAGTACTCTAAACAGTATCTTATTTCTTGTTGAAATATGGTGACATGTGCAGGTGTGTGTAGAACATGGTAATACATACACGAATAATATTGACACTGTATTGAATAGGCATTCTATTATTTGCATGGACTTGGGAAATGTTTGCCTGGCGACAGCGTTCTGGGTAGGCTTTCGATTTTTATGTTGTCTAGTGTGTTCTTCTTTCGTTTTACTTCTATAAGTCCCTATCAATTCATTGCTGTTACTTTATTAATAAATAATTTTTAATGGCCTAAAGGGTCCCTCCTTTGCTTATTTATGTGAATGACGTATACACAGTGAAACCTACCAGTCAAATACCATTCTTAAATGTTTGTGTATTCTAGACAAAGCATTAAGGTCTATTGTGTTCGTAAATCGTTGCTGTGCTTTTTATTCGATCTGTGCTTCGTTAATATAAATTTATGTAACCCGTGGTGCCATTTCAATGTTTTGAAATGAATTATGTCTGTATTTCATAGTTGTGGATTTCAAGCTGTAAGATAGACATAGCCAATAAGACACCTTTTTCGGAGGTGCCTAGTTGACCATGTTCTTAGTGCACATGTTTCCATAGCAAGGCGCACATGCCGTCTGGATATGACAGGCTCGATTCCCGCCACGGTACTATAGCTTTTGATTTGTATGTTGTCTAGTGTGTTCTTCTATCTTTCTATATCTTTCTACTTCTCTCTATCAGTGCCTATCAATACATTTGTCTGTTACTTTATTAATATATAATATTTAACGGCCTCCATGTTCTCCCTTTGTTTATTCGAGTAAAGGCGAATAAGTTTATATGAGTTAATCTGAACACTTCTTGAAAACCCCGTAAGGCCAGTCCTAATTTAGGAATGTGGATCATTGGGCGGCCAGCATCTAACCGATGTCAGTTTTGGACATCTTGGAGCGGAAGTTGTGTTAAACTAGTCTGAATATGACAGTCTAGTTCAGGTGTGACATTCTAGCAAGTTTGAAAACACGGTGACTGGTTCAGCAAACGGACAGTGACTTACTTAAACTAAAGAGATCTCAGGAATCGACTAGAATGATGTTAATGTACTAAGCTAGGTATAAACAAGAAAGATCGACTTAGGAACGATATCTGGAGCAGAGTCAGGGCAGAAACAATACTGAACTTTATAGATAGACAGCAAATCAAATGTTTTGACCTTATAACCAGACTGGCATCAGAGAGGGCACCACAGAGAGCAGCGTTATTCAGATACATAGATGACATTTCCTGAGGTCGACCACACAGAAAATGGACCACAGAAATATCGGAGACACTGACAAGAAGATACAAAGCGAACAGAAGATCTCTTTCAGAGATCTCTTTCAGAGATCTCTTCATGCCCTGACGCCCCAAAGCATTCCAATAGAAGAGAAAGGAAGAAAGAAGAATCATGGACAGTCAGCCGAGAAGTGAAAGAAAATACGTAGGAGGTGCATAGATGAGGATTTACTAAAAAACTATATCACCATGGACATAAAGGTAATTAACTGTTTTACTCCAGGATTGCTGCCCGGGGGATTACAGTCTAAAGGATGATATCAAATAGGAGCAAATCACAGAAACAGCGTGCAACAGTATCACACAGCTGTGTCATACAAGAGACCAAACACTTCTAGGCTTTCACTTTCGTGAAAAATGAATTTTAACTGAATAGAGTGCACACCCTTGATGTACCAATTGAAGCAGCGAGACTGGAAAACCAGCCTGGAACCACCCATGGTTACATCAACCAGAAGAGAATGGGAGCTGGGAGATCGGAGCGCTTATGGTCATATCCGATGTGCTATAAAGATGATCTTTCAATGAACAATGAACAATGAACAATAAACACAGCTATGTTAGGGTACCTCAACAAATCTAAGTAGCTTACAGCCCAATGTAGCGATGGGACTTCATACGTTGGTAGTCGACACAATGGACTGATAGAAAGAGTTTTGAAGACAGATATGATTACTAACGCCTTACCAATATCGCATATATCGCAGCCTAACTGTAAATGACAACACAACGGGCCAACCGCTTTTTAAAGGACGAATGCATAAGAAGGGGGAGGGGGGAAGAATACGGTGTTGATGATGATGACGATAATGGTAGTGGTGATAATGAAGAAGAAGAAGCGATTTGGACGAAGTCTACTATCTGTATGAGTTTTGACATGAGTAGAAAATCGTCCTCATAAGACCAGGTACATTCACATAAGAGCTCCGCACCCATCTTCAGCAGCAAGCAAAGAATTTCAGTCCCGATGGTACCAGTAACAGTCTAACATTTTATCCGTCTTGCCCCTTTCCTGAGTGTTGAGCACTGGCCAGATCTCCTGGTCACTCCTTGTTGCACCGTTTTTCTCAGACCGGGATGGTCCATTTGTGACTCCGCGCTGTTTACTCGTTTCTGAAAGGCCCTTAAAACATCCAACTTACCTGTAAAAACTGTCGGTACAAACGTATTTATATCTTAGATGAATAAACAGATGCAAGAGTGCCTCCGTACAGTTTACTCGCTCATAAAGGGCCCTTACAACACGCAACTTGTTTGTAAATGTGGGTACAAACGTGTTTATATCTCAGATGAATAAACAGATGCAAGCACGCCTCCGTACAGTTTACTCGTTAGTAAAGGACCCTTACAACAGGCAGCCTGTTTGTAAATGTGGGTACAAACGTGTTTATATCTCAGATGAATAAACAGACGGAAGCGCGCGAAAGTGAAGCAGTCGACCCAGCTATAGACATGAGGAACGAAGCAGTTCGACAGATAAGTCTCACAGAGAAAGTAAGTAGCACGACCTGACTAAGTTGTTGTAGATGGCCCGGTTGTTGTTTTTACTACATATTTTGTTATACATTGAAACCTCGTTAACACGAGACCGCACATTCCGCCAACACGAGCTTGCTTAAGAACATTTCGTTTACACGAACTCGTTTAAAAAGAAAATTCCGTTAATACTAACTCGCTTAAGTAGAACCTTTCGTTAACACGAACACAATTTGCTCCTGGTAAGGATGTATTATCAGGCCCCCGTTAGAACGAAGTTTTTAAACACGAAATCGGTCTCTTGGCTGCTTTGCTGGGAAAAAAAATCGTCAAGTTGAACCAGTAGCCCTGAAAGGGGAGCTTTAGGCTATAATTGTGGCCAAGTTATGTGCGCCTTATAAAATGGCTTAGAATTGCACGCCACCAAGAGCCCTGAAAAGGACTCTCCTGTAGTACTGATGCGGTCAAAGGAGACAGACCCAAATACTGTCCCGACAGGCGACGATGTCGTCTTCCAGCGAGCCAATGGACGACCTGGTCGCCGAACATATGACGAGGTTTTGCTAAAAATAACTTTGTGGGATATGCATTGGTTCACTCAGCATTAAAATAACAAATAACTACTTATCATTTCAAGACTTTTTCTGTCGTCATATTCGTCACATAATCTTTATAGTTACTATCATTCGCTTTTTCTATATTGCATTTCATCTTGACTTTGCTATCCATCCATCCATAAGTAAAGTAAGTAAAAGTAAAGATCCCTTTTCACACCTTTAGGCGCAAGGGGCAATTGGGAAGAATACCCATCTTTTTAACAGACCAATCAGCACTAGGCGGGTAATGTGGTCAGCATTACGCCAGCCGTTTTTACTTCCTCAGGATATACATCATGTACCCATTTTAGGTTGGATTGACCTGCCACGCCCCATACCATGATAAAAATCCAAGCTGTCAGTAGTGGATTTCGAACGCGGTTCGTTGAAATTACGAGTCGGACTCGCAACGCCTAAGCCACAGATGCCGCGATTTATCCATACATCAAAGAACAAAAGCAAATCTAGTGGATTTGGGATTTGGCCTGTACTCTAGTACCTAAGGCTTCCTTTGTTACAAATGGATACAATTTAGGTTACTGAGAGTTGGAGCACTGTATTAAATCAAATAAATGTTCGGACTTGAGGGTGTTAAACCACGAATTGTGCAACTTTCTTTATTCTTAGCGAAGATGATGTAAATTTCTTTCACATATAAAGTATAATGATAGCTTATTTTTTTTTTTTACAAGTACGGCAATGACAATCACAAGGCTTCCTCATTATCGTCATCACCACCAGGGTGATGCTGTTGTGCTGTTTTTACGTCACGTAGGGAATTAAAGTCCATTTTTCGGTTCTTTATTAATATCCTACTCCCAGATGACTTCACAGGACAGTACAACATTTTAGAGCGTGGTAAGACTGGGTTTCCCGGCTTTCTGATATTTTTAACGACCCCAAAACATCTAGAACTGGCCCAAAACCCAGCCCACCTACGTCCCACGAGAGAGTGCAGCCTAGGTCCCATGTCTGCATGTAGCCTGGGTCCCAAGACTGCATGCAGCCTATCTGCCACTCCCTAAAATATTGGACTGTCCCATGACCTGTTGATTTCCCCTGTTTGGGGTAGGATATAAATAAAGCACCCTTACTTCCATTTTCCAGGATATTCTGGGCAATCTGTTGGATATCAGAGACAGAATCTAGCCCAGCATCCCTGTCCTGTCAACAACGTTGGGCTTAGGTTTTTACTTCGACGCTATTGTTTTCCTAGTCCAGTTGTTTCCTATTCTACTTTTAGATTTTACAGTAGACCTCTGAATTGTCGGTTCTATTTTTGTTTTGTTTTTGTTCAGAGACGTATCTTCATAATACATTGATAGGCAAAGTAAATTTATTTGTTGTCATTTATGTTCACTTGAGCTGAGTTGAGCTGAGCCAAGAAAGACATCACAGCACTCAAGTCATTCCCATAAGCGCTACGTCCCAATCTTCAGCAGCCAGAGTTCCATAACTAATGGTACCGGACGCAGTCTGATTATACGCCCATCTTGACATTGCTTTGAGTGTAGTGTGCTGGCCAGGCCCTCTAGTCACACGCAGGAGTATCATTCTCTCCCCTATTGTGTTAGCCATTCCCCTTCGGTCACCACTAGACTCCAATGTGTATATGAGCTGTACTGCAAATTTTAACATGGTTGACACATTTGGATATGGAGATGTATTTATTGCAACTTTAAATGCATCTAGTCACCCACACACACACAAAAAAAAATGGTTTAATCATTCCGAACCTGATGATCCCAAAAGGTTGTAATTGTTACTGGCTGAACAAATTGTAACCCATCTCGGTGCCAGTACTCGTCTTTCTCTAGGAATACATGTTTCGAACACTTTGCCCAGAAATAAATGTCTTTTCTTGAGAGAGATTCACGTGTCATTACTTCAACATCACACATTTTAAATGTACTGTTCTTTTCGGCAACTTGTCTTTTTGACTTTAAACCAAACAAGCTCTATGGAGTTGAGGTGTGAATTAAATGCAGGGAGTCCCAAAGAAGTGTGACCGTATTCATTGATGTATTCAGTGTGATAAACCTTAGTCGTATTTGTTTTCCTCGCAAGCTGCAACAACTCTTTTTTTTTCAAATATGTGTCGTAAAAGTAAATATTCTACTTAGCAAGCCATGTTCTAATTTGATCTTTTGTATTTGAAGTCGTTGGTACTTTGTCTTGCTCGTTACGGCATTATGATAGGCGGCATTATCCATTACTAGGCATGATGGTCTGTCCAGAATTGGAGGACGATCATTCTCTACCCAGTGCCTGAAAATGTGTCCATTCATTTAGGTGTGATAGTCCCTAACATCCGTACTTTTTGATTGGAAAACATCCAGCATCATGGAAAAGGCCTTTTTTCACTGCTTCTAGCATAAGTGAGTATGATGCGCTGGCCTTTGCTGCTTGGAATGTTTTTCTGTTCACCCTTTATTGACTGTCATTCTTCAGCATAGGTATGGCGAGCATTAACCCAGGATTCATCTAAATATACAATTTCAAAGCCTTGCTTCCGTCGCTCACGGATCTGCCTCATGTATTTTCTTCGACTAGCAATCAAATGTGACTTTTCACAAATAATATTCATTCTACCTACAGTTTTCCTGAAAGTGAACCCTGTAGCTCCTACAATTTTCCACAGATTACTTTGTGAAATGTCAATGCTGCATTGTGATTTCAATGTTAATTTCAGTTTTCGGAGAGTAACAAGTTGATTTGTCTCTAACATTTTTAAGATCTCATGTTTTATAACATCTATATCAAAGCCGTCAACTTTTATTTTCCCTCCTTGCTGGACATGAGCCCACTCTCTGTCCTGATTAATCCAACAGTTAAATGACGTTCTATCCAGACCAAGAGCCAATCGTGTTCGTTGCTTTGGATTATGAAATTCACACTATAGAGTGACCCTTCTTAGATTCCTTTAGAAGGTGCTGATACAACATTAAAATAGTAAACTTCTGCATAGTTATAAATTTGCATCTCAAATTCATTTTGAAGTTGATATATAAGCTAGCTTTATGACAATATAACTCAACATTAATTTGTGAAAACGCCTTTGACTAAACAACCTTGACTGACATATTTTTTTCGGCTCCTGGTCACTAAAAGTGCGTTTGCACGAGAAATTAATGAAACTGGGTAGGTTTTCTTGACCTCCTGTTAAACCAGTCACACTGTGCATTACTCCCTGAAACTAATGAAAGTAAACCTTCCAAAAGTCTACCAAGACAGTTTCATAATAAAAATATATTTCGTAAAGAGGTAAAAAACTATACATTATATTTTTCTTTGGTTAAACAAATATTTCCCTAATGTCATGGATATTCTAAGGCTGCATGCAAAAAAAAAAAAAAAAATCATTGTGATCAAACAGGTAGTTTTTCGAAAAAATGGCTTGTATGTGTGATTATCTATTGTTGAATGAACTATAATCTCACTAACTACAAATGAACAAAAATAGGATAACAATGCCTCTCTATTGGTGTCTGTTTATCTGGGTTTTTTTTCATTCTGTTTATCTGTTTGTATACCTTCGCTTTGGTCTGTTTTTATATCAGTCTGCTGCTTTTCTGTCCAGTTTCGTCCCCACTGTCTACTTTTCTACTTCCAATTTCAATTTGTAAACTTCCCTACCTACCAGTTTTTTTCTGTAACCATCTTTTAACATAAGTACCCGATTACATGCTACTGTGCTTATTTTTCTCTTGTTTGTTTCTTTGCATGATTTTATTGTAAACGCATTTCCTTTTAAGCATTGCACATAATTAGCATTATTCAGCTCTTGTAAATGCCTTTCACACACACACAAGTTAGTTGCTGCTATCTTGTTAAAAACATTGTATACCACCCGCAGCATAAATGGACTATCGGTAGATTTTTTAGGTGTGTTTCCCCTTGAGTAGTTTGTTTCTGCTTCCTATACGGTCAATACTCACACCAGTGTCCGTATCGAACCAGATACATCGGGATTATAAAACTACCTCCTTAATCCCAAGCTACAGACACCGACTGAGCATACATGGATTATTTTAAAGTCATCTATTTTGCCCCAGTTGAAGAACAAAATCGGAGCCTTTTAAATTAAATGCTACATAAAAGTTAAAAATACCGTGGACAAAGAAGAAGAAAAACTTCCTCCCGCATGACCTGAACATCAAGGAGAACTGGCTCGTAAAGAGAATCCTCGCTCAAAAGCTGAGGTGTTTTGGACATGTCAAGCGCCATGGTGTTCAGGAAAGAACGGGGATATAGGGTGCAGTTTCCAGAAAAGAAGACTGAGGCCGACCTCTGCGTAAGTGGATACAAGACATTGAAAATGCATTAACTATGGAGGCACACATGGCTGGAAAATAGGCTGGAGAAACTGAGACGGTGCTGTGAAAAGACCTAAATCCATGTAGGTGGATACAGGATACTTAAGATGCATTTACTATGGGTGCACACATGGCTGGAGAATTGGCTAAAGAAAGTGACACTGTCTGTGCTGTGAAAAGATCGGATTATCGTGGGTTCGCTCCCTGGCGGAGTCAGACTTTTTTCAAAAATGACCTTTACTCCAGGTCGACCCAGCCTTGAGTTGGTACCGGGTGCAGTCCCGGTAAGTAAAGGCGGCCGGTGTGATGCTTACCAACATCACCCATCATGTGCCGATTAGTCTATAAAAAATATAGGTCTAGCCCTATATGCCTAAAGGGGTGGAAGAGGGACCTTTATTTTTACTTTATTTATGTGGTGTAGAGAGAGAAAGAGGGAGCAACATTGTGTAAAGGACATACTGACTGATTGTCAAATTCATTTTTGTTCCCCGCACAGGCTGCCTATAGTCGACTCTTTGCTGATGGCATTCTGTCCAGGGAGTCTGTCATCAATTTCATGTACCTTGTAACCCAGTGCATCAAACTCAGGAGGTATTTATGAAACATTTCACATCTCCTTGTGTTGCCCTGTGGCCCGGTTTAGGGTGTGTGTGTGTGGGAGAGGGGTGGCGGGGAGGGGATAGACCCATTGCACTCCCAAAAAGCTTGTCGTAAAAAAAAAAAACCCGACTTATTAGAGAGTTTGCAGAAATCTGACGTTGGGCTGCAAGGGGCAGATGTCACAGTCTAGCCGGAAACCACAACTTAATGGGCCAGCTACTCTTTCAAGAGCAAAAGCAGCAGCAGCTGAAGAAGAAGAAGAAGAAGAAGAAGAAGAAGAAGAAGAAGAAGAAGAAGAAGAAGAAGAAGAAGAAGAAGAAAAAAAGAAGAAGAAGGACCAACATTTTGTACTTGGAAGCCATGGTAGCGAAATCGTTAGACCAGTGATTCTCAACCTTCCTAATACTGCGACCATTTAATATAGTTCCTCTGTTGGGCACCCCCCCCCCCCCCCCCCCCCCACCGTAACATTATTTTCGTCGCTACTTCATAAAATCAGCGATGGTCTTAGATGACCCCTGTGAAAGTGTCGTATGACCATCAAAAGGATCGTCACCCACAGGCAGAGAACTGCAGGACTAGACTCTTCAATGTCTTCGGTTCGAAGCTTCACCAAGTCAGAGTTTTATCAAAACTGCACTGGCCTCTTTGTGGACCCAACCTGAAATCTTCTTCCTTTCCGTGTGGCGTTTGATGTCATCTATCCATAGTGTTCTGTCTCGTGTACCTTTAGTCAATTTCTCGCCATAATGTCAAACCCTTCCGCATCTGCTGTCTGGGTCTCCTACCTCTTTCCCCTTCCAGCCTTGCCACCGCCACGGTTTACTCCCGTTTTCTCGCTCTCATGACATGACATGACATGTAGATTGTCTGATTTTATTGATTTATTTATTCTTCAATAAGTGCATACTCAACTGGGAACGTTTAGTAGTGTGAAAGTACATTTTCACTCTAACCTTTACTGGGAACTAATAGCAACAGGACTCAGCAACCTTGTCTCATCACAGATAAAAATTTATAATAATAATAATAATAATAATAATAACAATAATAATAATAATAATAATAATAATAAGAAGAACAGTGTGTTAAGGATGTGTGTTATCCCCAAGCCTGATCAACTTTTAAACAGAAAACATTTTTTTAAAAAGTACTAGTATTGCCTGGACGACATATTACTGGAGGAACATAAAAAATCTGAGATATACATATGACTAAGTGTAGCTTTAATAAATAGAGCACAAGTTAAAGAACCCAGCGATAGTGAGATGGGGTGGGAGAGGAGGGTAACAGACCCACTGCCTATGCGAGATTGCAAAACTCATAGGCGGTGAAATCTAGAGAATTAGACCCCTTGAGACCTTCCCACCCCCAAACATTTTTTAAAAATTACTACCCCCCCCCCCTTCCCCAACTTTTCCCTATGTAATCAGTTTTGCTAGGAGTATAGGCCCATCTGCACACCGTCTCACCTTTCATTCATGCTTTTTCAGACTGTTCTACGTTAGAGGGGTGTCACGTTGTTATGTCTCCAATTACATCTGCGACTCCAGAACATCTAGAATTGGCCCTAACTCACCCCTCACCCCTACCAACAGCCTGAGCCTAGGTCCCACTAGAGACTCTTATCGAAGAAAAATTACAACGTGACACCCCTTTGACCTAGATCAGACTGAGCAAGTGTGTAGATGGACCAGGAAACGTGAATAGGACTGTGGCTACAGTCAATTAAAAATGAACACGCGGGTCGGGTCAAATCTCTTTAATAAGTTAATTAATCAACAAATTAGCAAACGATGAATAAATGATTGATGGAAGTAATGAACCAACGCATGAATGAATTTGAAATCAACCAATCACAAATTATTGAACAAACTAATAAATGAGAGGTAAAAATGAGTGAATGAAAGAACGACTAAATAGGTGAATGACTGAAATGAATCAGCAATGGAGGGAACTAATGAATAAAGAATATATCAATAAATAAACAATCAATTAATCGAGCGCGGTTTGAGGTTTTAGACAACGGACCAACATCATGGCATACGAGTCTGAGTCCGAAGAAGCTCAGCACAGTGCACAAACTCTGTAGTACCGCTGATGATCCTGAAATACTTTGGGTGGAGTTTTAACTCCAAATTTTGCCCTGGCAGCGCCGTTAGGCTACACTTTTCGATTTCCAACTGCCAAGGAAATTTTTACTTGGGCAACAATGCACACAGACGTCCGATCTGAAAACCCAGAGACCAGGAGGAGTTACTAGAAGTCCAAGTTAAGTTAGTTGCTATCCTTCACATAACGTTGCACAACCAACCCCAGCATTTTTGGTTGTTGTGGTTATCCTAGGTAAGTTTACGTCCAGTAGTTTGCCGTTGCTTTCTGGGCGGTCGGCTTCTCGATACCACTGTCGAAACCATCGCAAGACGCAAGGCCCACAGCTGGAATTGAACTCGGCATCACGGCACTACAAAGCACGTTTCATGTGAAAATATCCTAGCCCTTACCGGGGATTGAACCTGGAACCTTTAATACTCACAGCGGACACCATGCCTCGAGACCATGCAGTCCCCAAATCGAGCGCACAGTTTTAATCCGCGGAGATCGAGAAGCCAGGATTTGGAGCAGATATTTCCAAACAATAGTAATGACATCTGCTGCGTTACTGTGAAGTATCGAATACACAAAGTAAAGATCTTACTTATTACTGCTATAGTAAATGTCTATATCCTATTTAGCTGCCAAAATCATTACACTGTAATCTTTAAACTTCAATGAACACTCAGAGAGAAAGATGTTGCACTAATCTGCATATGTTATTTTCTGTTTTAAAATTTTCTGTAAATGTGGAGTTTCTTTAATGGTTAATACGATTGTCTTGCAGGAGGAAGCTCAACTTTGTGGTCCTATAAGGGTTTGTAAAACAAAAACAAAACATTATTATTTTTTGTCATTACTTAGTTTCAAACTCAAACTACTTTGCTGAGTTGTGTAACAAACACCACTACTGAAAGATGCCGCTGTGGTTGCCAGATTTAGTTAGTAAACAATTATCAAAATTTAAATATAAGAAGACAATGTTTGAGACATGTGGGGACTGGTCAAAAGCACATCATGTGATTCTAAAATAAAGGGAATATGAACGCTGGGACAGGGGACACCGAAGTAAATGGAACGTGAACGCTGGGACAGGACACATCGACATAAAGGCAACATGGACGATGGGACGATAGGAAGGGGGAACCGACATAAAGGCAACATGGACACTGGGACAGGACACACCGACATAAAGGCAACATGGTCGATGGGACAGGGGCACCGACATAAAGACAACATGGACGCTGCGACAGGAGGCACCGAAATAAAGGCAACATAGACGATGGTACAGGGTCACCGACATAAAGGCAACATGGACGCTGCGACAGGAGGCACCGAAATAAAGGCAACATAGACGCTGCGACAGGAGGCACTGAAATAAAGGCAACATAGACGATGGTACAGGGTCACCGACATAAAGGCAACATGGACGATAGGAAGGGGGAACCGACATAAAGGCAACATAGACTATGGTACAGGGTCACCGACATAATGGCTACATGGACGATAGGAAGTTGTAACCGACATAAAGGCAACATGGACGCTGGGACAGGAGGCACCGACATAAAGGCAACATAGACGATGGTACAGGGTCACCGACATAAAGGCTACATGGACGATAGGAAGGGGGAACCGACATAAAGGCAACATGGACACTGGAACAGGGGGCGCCGACATAAAGGCAACATGGACGCTGGGACAGGGGCACTGACATAAAGGCAACATGGACGTTGGGACAGGGGGCACAGACATAAAAGGAATATGGACACTGGGACATGGTGCACCAAAGTAAAGGCAACATAGACGTTGGGACAGGGGGCACTGACATAAAGGCAACATGTACGATGGGACAGGACATCGACTTAAAGGCAACATGGACGAACGGCAGGGAAACGATATAAAGACAGCATGGACGCTTGGACAGGGGGAAACCGGCATAGAGGTAAAATTGATGCTGGGACAGAGCACTGACACAAAAGAAACATTGACGTTGGCATTGGGGCACCGACATAAAGGAAACATGGGCGCTGGGACAGGGGCACCGACATAAAGGCAACATAGACGCTGGGACACGGGCAGCGTGATAATGAAACATGGATGGCGCTAAGCCCTGTCGTTTCGCTTTTTTTCGCATGCGGAATTATGGCTCTCATGGGGTAATATCCTAGTTTAAGAGAAAAATAATAATGTAAGGACCCTGCTTGATGTGGTCAGCATCACGCTGGTGAATAATTTATTAACTTAGTGGCAAATAATTAGAACATAAGTGTAAAACTGTTATTCTGCAATGACTGTGTAAATCCAATAGCGAGGAGCTATCAACTCGAATGTGTAAGTGTCTTAAGATAACTATTACACCTGAGAGGTTATCACGGAATATTTTCCTTCTCGTCGTTTTGCTGTTTAGAAGATGCGTGCGCCGATAGCATTGTAGTACGAGTAACTGATAGCTTTCAGACGTTAGCGTTTCTGCATGTCGTAAGTATGCCGCCAGCGTTCTTTTCTTTATATTCGAGTGAACAGTAAACATTATAAAAGTTAAAAAAATTATTTGGCAAAGGAAAGGGGCGATTACAGACATCACATGCACACCTTAGCTACTGACTAATACAGCTATTGTGTAACAACCCCTTTGCAGAAAGTTGAACGTATCATAGAACGCCGAAAATGGGACGGTTCGCTTTTAATCGGTGACTTTTTTAAAAAATTTCCCATGCAGCGCAAATAATGATTTTTTAAATTTTAAATAGGTGTTTGTTTATATAGAAAAAATTATCACAAGGACATCATTATTAACAGGTTTCAAGCTAAATTTCAACAATTTATACCACACGGTTACTATGTTACAGATTTTTAAATTTGAGGACAACTTCTGGAACCGACTATAACTTTCGCCCCTCTTGAACGTTGATGCCCAGCGTGTTCTTGGTATCGTGCTGTTAGACCTATGCTTATTCAGTCAGGCTCCATAATAGACTGCAGAGCGGCAGCACACCCGGCTCTATGTTCACTCGATATTATCGATAGAATTGAATATAATAGGTCTTTTTTTCCCTTTCTTTATACCTAATTATTCTTACATAAGAAAGCTTCACTGGAACTACATCAGCCATGCACTCAGAATGGATAAGACCAGACTCAGCCATCAAGCCCTCATATGGACACCGGAAGGGAACAGAAAAAGGGGAAGACCAAGCGATACCCTGCGTATAACTATCATCACCAAGGACCCAATAAACATCCAAAACCTAAAGCAAGAGGCAAGGAATCGCCAGACATGGAGAGCAATGACCTCTGCCTTTTGCGTCGTCCCAGGCGCAAGTGGAAAGACTAACTTAACTTATATTTATACACTACATAATCATTAAGCCTAATATTAGTAACCATCCGCTTGTTCATTAAAAAAAAAAAATTACAAAATTCCTGTATGAATCTATGATAGTAAACAGATATAATAATATCATCAGTCATCAGTTCTCGTTTTGCCTAGTGGCACATGAGGCTTTAGAGAGGACTTTCCATGCTTTCCTGTCCTGTGCAATCTTCAGTGCAGTTTCTATGTCAAAGATGCCGCACTCAGGTCACTTTCCATCGTTCGTCTCCATGTTGTTTTTGGGCGTCCCTGTTTTCTCTTTCCCTCTGGTGTCCATGTGAGAGCTGTTTTGGCAGGTATATCAGAAGTCATTCTCATAACGTGGCCAAGCCATTTCCATCTTCTCTTGGTAATCATACTGTCTAAAGTTTCTTGGTTTGTGGCTTGAAGTAGTTTAGTGTTTGAGATTGTATCTGGCCAGAAATTTTTGATAATTCTACGTAAACATGTGTGGTGGAAGGTGGACAGCTTGTGTGCATCCTTTTTGGTCATTCTCCAGCATTCCGCTCCATAAAGAAGAACTGGCAAAATGATGCTCTTGTAGAGTCGGAGTTTCGTTCCTTTGCAGTAATTGTTGGATTTCCAGATTTGCCTCATCCTTCTAAAAGCAGCTCTAGCTTTGTTCAGACGTGACTGTATGTCTTCCTCTGTCCCTCCCAGTAGGGACACCACACTGCCAAGATATGTGAAATGTTCTACATTTTCAAGTGATTGGTTACTTATAATATAATGGACAAAAATATAAAACGTATAAAGAATCAGAGAAAGACAAAGCGAAACGATTTTTGACAGCCTTTTGTCATCGCATGGAGGGATGCCGGCACTTGTACTGAAACGTGTTGTTGAAGATTGTAGATTGTGAACGAACGAATGAATGAACGAACTTTATTTTCTGAGGGATAAGAATTGGGCAGGCAGGCCCGTCTAACACTCTGCCCTTCCAATCTACTCCTTGTGAAGAGGCGTATAGTCTACACTGACGGTGATGATGATGATAATGATGATAATGATGATGTTGATCTTCTTCTTCTTCTTCTTCTTTTTCTTCTTCTTCTTCTTCTTCTTCTTCTTCTTCTTCTTCTTCTTCTTCTTCTTCTTCTTCTTCTTCTTCTTCTTCTTCTTCTTCTTCTTCTTCTTCTTCTTCTTCTTCTTCTTCTTCTTCTTCTTCTTCTTCTTCTTCTTCTTCTTCTTCTTCGCGTTCACCAGCTGTACACTCTGGCGGAAAGTTCTGGTTGCTCGTCCACTACTGAACTGCAGTCCTGCTCCAGAACCTGAGTGGTGCGTGTGCATCAGTTTTACAGATCTCATTCTCTTGAATACAGACTGTTGGTTCCTTGCCTCTCCGGCAGATGCACTCCGACTTCAAAGGAAGCTCCCCAGTAAGTCGACTCTTACGACATGCTTTTGGGGAGGTAGTGGGTCTATTCTTGTTTTCCCCACAATGGGGGGGGGGGGAAGAGGCCTTCAACGGGGGGGGGGGGGGGGGAGGGGGGGAGGTTCTAAGCCCACCAGAGAGATACCATATCATGCAGCGTGTAACTATTTTCTTATCTGGCAGGTTGTTGTTACCAAAAGACATAATTATGGCTTCTGGAGACATATCGTTTCTAAACAGAATGGTAAGTAACGTCATGCAGGTTGATATTTACATGTCTGCTGTTGGTATGTCTGTTGTCGATATCCACGATTTATTATCACTCGTTCCCATGTGGGATGTAATTTTTAGTTATTTCGAAGCCCCGCCCTGGCTTTTGCAGGCGGCCCTAAATATAGCCGGGGCATAAATATATCCTAACGGCTGAAGAGGGTTTCCGGGACCTTTCAATGAGTGATCCTCATCTGCATGGTGGCATTGTGTATCACAGGGTGTTTATCGCTCTGTTGTTAATCTCACTGGTAATGATAATCGAAGTTCCGCCTTCATTACAAACGGGTCAACCCATATGTATTGTATTCTATCTTTAAAGCATGTTAATGCTAATCAGCTATATATATATAATATGACTTTCAAGAAAATACCACCCACAAAAAATGTCATTCAGTGATTGGACATCTTTACTGTTCTGCCGTAGGACAGAACCGTGAGGTACCGCCCACAGGAGATATTGCTCGTGTTAGTTGCGGACAAAGCTCATAGACAAGGATTTGAGGATTGAACAACGGATCAACATCAAAGCACATAGGTAATAACCCATAAGTGATCCGTTCGTCTTCTAACACAAGTCAGAGTCTGAAGAAGCCCCGCACAGTTCTGTAGCACCGGCAAGGATCCTGAAATACTTTGGCTAGATTTTAAACTCCACATTACAGATCTGGTTTATTTGCAGGCAGACTGTTGGTTCTTCGCCTCTCAAGTAGACATAGTCCGACTTCGAAGAAAATACCTCCAATCTGTCGCCTTTTGCGATACGCTTGTTGGGATTCAACTGGTTCCTCCCCCACCCAACCCTGGGGCTGCTTAGCTAAAAACCACAATACAGCCGGGGCGGACGGGGAAAGCGGGAAGAGGAGTGAGCGGGGGTGGGGTGGGACGTGGACACAGACGAAGAAGGAGAAGGAGAAAATTCACTTTGTTGACATATTTATTGTACCAGTGGGGTCTTGTTGACGATCAATACTCACGGGAGAAGGGAGACTTCTACACAAGCAGACTATTGGTATCATTGAAATTTTAACTCTGCCCTTGCTGCTGAAGATGGGGACGGAGCGCTTATGGAAATGTTTTGAGTGCTGTGATATAGATATTAATTAATCATTAAAGATATTTACTGTATATTTTCAGGAAAAAGAACTCGTTCTTATGGTCAACAACGGACCACGACCCCTGTTTATCCGTGCACTCATCCTAACCATCTTCTTCGCAGACCTGTTGGAGATTACCAATGCTGCTTTATACGTTATTTTTGATCAAGGTTCCGACATCAAGATCCAGGTCATTACCTATCACAACATGCTAATGGCTATGGCCTACGTCATTATTGTCGTGTACGTGGTAAGTCGGATGGGTGATTTTTTTTTTTGACAACTTGGAAGATTCTTGAAAGTCTTTTGTCATGGCGTGAAACGGTGTCAACCACACAAACTCATATATGACGTTGGGGATCACGAGATGGGGACACGCATGATCGCCAACACCAGCCCGCAAGACATCTGAAAGGTGTCTTCGGCATAGACGTTACGCAATCAAATCTAGACACTGTAAGTCTCCTGAGAACCACCTTAATTATGTAACGGGGTTCAACCCGCCTAAGGGACTTAAGGTCCAACACAGCTTTATCTAATGTTTTTGTTAAATTACAGCCCTGGCCTGTCACATCTTTTTCTGTTCTTGGTGCATAGTTGACCATGTTCTTAGTGCACTTGTTTCCATAGCGAGGCGGACATACCGTCTGGAGGTGACAGATTCTATTCCCGGCATGGTAACTATAGCTTTCAATGTTTATGTTGTCTAGTGTGTTCTTCTATATTTATACTTCTTTCTATGAGTGCCGATCTATAAATTCTCTATATTATTATATAAATGATTTAAGCGGCCAACAGTCATGCAGATATTTCTAATGGGGCTCAAGACGCCTTAGGGACCTAATGTCCAACACAACTTTACCTAACGTTTTTCTTTCTTTTTTTTTTTTTTTTTAAAACGGCCCTTGCCTGTCATATTTATTTTTATCGTTAGTATTCACTTTCTTCATTTACAACTAACATTCAAAATTTGTTGTTGCTTGTTTGCCTTTCAGTATCTGTAGCAGTTTTTCCATTCCGTCTTGCCACCTGAAGTTTTGACTATTCAAAGAATGACTTCCTAGATGGGAATACTTCCGGATAAATTCATACAACCTGTTCAATTTTCCAAGAGGTTATAATTAGGGCATTCTTAACGACTGCACCAAGAGTGACCTCATGAATCTACTCGAGAAAACTCAGGCTGGCTTTATATGGCAAGAATGGATTGTATCACTAAGCACTTCACGGATGGATAACCTAACTTTATTGGTCGTGCCGGGTGGTGCGAGTGTTCGAGGCAACGAGTGTGCAGATTATCGTACAGACACTGCGGTTGTTATGGCTGTCCGGTACTGGAAAGAAGTGATGACGTTAATGCCATGCACAGCACTTACCGCGAAAACGAATACGGCAAAGACGAATCTAGTCTGATGGGAAAGGGAGCAACGTGGAACAGCAGTAAATAAACATTTCACTCAGGGCAGAAGACCTTTGATTAATCAACTCACTACAAGCGTCGGCGGCCGTTTTACGCTGGTGGAGTCACTGAGGATGAGATCGGAGCACCTAGGGATCTGTCCGTATGCCGTGATGATAATCCCTAATGATGCCTAATCATTACACCAGGTACGACCATAGTGAACCCTGCTATTTAAGATGGACAAGCATTTCAAATTAGTCATATTTTGTAGCTAGAAATAGGGCCGCGTTAGCGCAGTCGATATGAGACTTTCTTTCAAATCCAGCTGCGACTCGCTGCAGCCCACGACCGGTGTTTAAAAACGGGCGGTTCCCGGGGTTTACCCAGCCTCTAGGAAATAGGTACCATAGTTAACACTCTTGGGTAAATGGAGGAATGTCGCTGTAGCTACAGAGTTGCGTGCGGACGGCAATACAAGCGGACAGTTTCTTATCAGCTGTCCCTACTGGTGGCGGAGCACTTATGGCTTATAACCGTGTTCAATGAATCTGGTTCCCATCTCCGACCTTACATTTTTCACCTTTTTGGCCAGAAATGATTTATATCAGGCATACGCCCCCCCCCCCCCTTAAATCTCCAGTTAACACACACAAAATCTATCTACGTCCATTACAGGCAATCAAAAACAAAAGTTGCAAGTCAACAAGTCTCTGGCATACATTGTACAAAGTTGTGGTTATTATCTCAATTTTCGATTTGGTAATAACGGCCTATCCGGTGGTAAGTGATAATAGCACGCGGACTCTTGTATTATCCTCCTGCTTGTCCTCCACCTCATCGCCCTCATCCTCATTTTTATCATCATCATCATCCTCTTCATTATCATGTGACAGGTCATTTGCAGGCCGCCGCTTGGATGGAAGACAAACGGTCCCTTGTCAAATTTGTTAATATCTTTTCTCCACCGTCGTTGTGGTCGACTCCTGCCTCTTCTTCAAAGAGAACACTCACCGTGTAGTGAACCATTTTCTCCTCAATAAATTATGTCCCAGACGGAATAAAATCAGCTAATAAATATGATTGGGATATTTGAGTGTAACAAGGACAGCGACGTGAGTCACGAACAAAATGCCGGCCAGATGAAACCCGTGTGAATCACGGAGAAAATGTTGGCCAAATTAAACCCATGTGAATCGGAAAACACGAAAAAGTTATAATTGCAATGTGGGCGTTAGAAGGTTATATAATGCCTTAGAAAGAGCATGTGGGTAGTCTCGTTTGGGCCAAGAAACGGAGTGCGTGAAGAACGAAAGAGTGTTTGCGGATCCAGAATGTGTCTTAGGATGAATGTAGCTTCAAACACCCTACCTGGCCAAACAGCAATTATGGATGGTTTCTCGTCTGCCCGCTGAAATTTTGTTTGTGTCGTGAACATGGAGGAAGTTTGCGTGCTTCATTGTGATTGTTGAAATGTGCGGTTGTGTTTCGATGAGTACAGGTAATATTGACTTTTTTCCATAATTGTTTGAATCATCCTAGGCATGACTTTTTTATGTACCGGCTGAGATAACAGCGAGTGGAAGAATAAAGGATGCAACACTCTTGTGTTGTTCGCTATCGTCCATTTTCTGCTCGTCGTGTTGATGTCAGGGTGTGAAAGAGGAGTCTGCAGTGACTAGAGCCAAAGACATTAGGAACAGAGTCATTGCAAATCATTAGAAACTTCCTTAGAGGTCGGAACTTATTCACCTGAGCTTAGAGCAGCCATTAGTCTGTAAACACATGAGCGACATCTGTAAAATGGATGTGCACCACACGGTCAGGAACATGACCGAAGTCGAGAAGTGATCGAACAGTCAGAACTTTACACTGGATTTCACAGTGGTAAACCTTTATAATAAGAATAAGACTGGTGTAAATCTGTGTGTCTGGGTTTCGTGGTTTTAAAGCCTAAGGGTTGCTTCCGCACTGTGTATGTGCTCCCTACATTAAATAATCCATATGCTTACCAAGGATACCCGTGTATCGCTACTCACTATTGCTAAGCAGTAGTATTAAAACTGTTTTGTTGTTAGTATGACCGACATATTTCAGTGTCCGAGACCCAGTACTGTCTATAAGCCATTTCACTTATTTGTTCAAGTTCCAAAAATGTACTATTTTCACTACAAACTGGACTTTTTTTCAAACCTAAGAGAACGATTTTCAAGCCACCCAGGACGTTTTACAAACCAAACTAGATTGTTTTCAAACCTCGTAGGACATTTTACAAATCAAACTAGACGGTTTTCAAACCACCTAAGGCGTTATTCAAAGCAGGCTGCACGATTTTCAAACCAGCTAGGATATTTTTCGAACCAAACTGGACGATTTTCGAATCAAATAGGACAGTTTTCACAGCAAAGTGGACACAGTTTATTTTCAACAATTTACAATTCTTTACCAAGTATTGCTTTTTGGCCCAGAAAAAAAAAGTAATTTACAAGGAAACAAGAGGTAAAAGTGAAAATCAGTTTACGATAGGCTATCCTCCTGCTGCTGGTGTAGTCAAGTTCATCATCCTATGGAGAACGTAATCAGCGCAGTCCTGTTACGTTACGAACAAAGCTAGAGCCGCTTTTGGAAGGATGAGGCAAATCTGGAAATCCAACAGTTACTGCAGAGAACAAAACTCCGACTCTACAAGATCATCATTTTGCCAGTTTTTCTTTATGGAGCAGAATACTGGAGAATGACCAAACGAGATTCGCACAAGATATCCAACTTCCGCCACTACGTAGAATTATCAAAATGTTCTGGCCAAATACAATCTCTACTACTTCAAATCAGAAACCAAGAATTCTAGACAGTATGATAACAAAAAGAAGATTCAAATGGCTTGGCCATATTATGAGAATGAATTCTGGTATACCTGCCAAACAACTCTCACTTGGATACCAGAGGGGAAAGAGAAAGAACAACAAAAACAACATGTAAGCGAACGATAAAAAATGAAATGATTGTTATATCTCTGACACAAAAAACTGAACTGAAGATTGCACAGGATAGGAAGGCATGAAAACTCCTATATGAAGCCTCATGTGCCACTAGGCATAAAGAGAACTGATGACTGATGATATTACGTTATCATTCCAAAGCTCTCTTCAGTGGCCTGACTGAGTGTCTTGTCGATCGTGATGTAGTCCAGCAGGTGCTTCGCTAATGCGTGCCCCTTCGAGATGAGGTTGTATGCTGGCTTAAGCATGTAGGAGTGAGTTGACATAAACTTATAGATAAGAGTGTTGATCTAGCAGTCCTTCGTTGGCGATTGGGTCGCCCATTGGCTGTCCGGTTGACGACTTCGTAGCCGGTAGGATCAGTATTTGGGTCTGCCTCAAATGATCGTATCAACACTGCAAGAGTCCTTTTCAGGGATTCTTGGTAGCGAGCAATGCTAAGGCATTTTATATGGTACACACAACCTTGTCCAATTGTAATAACCTACAGCTGCCCCTTCGGCAATGCTGGTTAAACGTGACGATTATTTTGTTTTGTTATTCAGCTAATCAATATAACGAAGCCAGTTAGTCCTTGTCCTGACTATGAAGGAGTAACCAGGGTATGCTATCTACTAGGGAAGTCTTGTCTTCATTGCTAATTGATTAACCATTTGCTTTCCAGTGAAGTCACCCAGTCGACAGCAGTATCTTCAGTAACTGTTGAACTTGAAATACTTTTTTTTTTTCAGTACACCAAAATGCTCCTAAATAGGGAGATACTTGAAATAGAGAAGAAGCAGTTCCAGCAGTTTGTTATCACCCTGAATGTGGTTTGCGTGTTCACCAGGCTGCTCCGATCGGTGCCCGTGG